TCGCTGTGGGCTGCATGACCTTGGCAGACAAGCTTACGCACATGTGCTGCATAAGCACACCATGGCAATGCTGTGTAGCAGAACAGCGCAGCTTGTTTGACACGCTAGCTCAAGGAGTCCGGCTGGCCCCGACGTGCAATACTGTCCTACGCTTTTGCAGTGTTTCGTGGCTCGCCGCCACTTTCTGCAGCGAGGCATACTGGCCTCGTTTGGGCCATGCTTTCGCTGTTGGCTACCATATGCAGCCGCGCAGAGGAGACACAGGCACTGCCACTACTACACTCCGGAGAATCCCTCGGCAGCAACAGGCGCATCAATGAAACCTCTAAGACCCCAAGTAAAGAAATGGCATAGATGTCGCAATCGGATCTCCCCGCACTAAGCGGCTTCGGGTCTGCCTGGAGTTTCATTGAAGTAGTGCTCCAGGCGTCGCTGCACAGCCATGCGCGATCCTTGCCCTTGCGTGCTCCATCCAGGTGGCAGCTGGTATCCCGCGTCTTCCAGATGGCGTGCATGATCGTCACTCACGACAGCTTGCGAGCCGACCGTGTAATTCAGTAGAACACATCTGGTTCCATGCCACGGAAGGGTACCGTGTAGAACACGCCTGCTATTGAAGAGAACGGCTCGGCGCGCTGTGGCATATCTGGAGCCGAGATACTTGACCCCCGATGCTTCCATCCATGTGTCCCCAGAGTTATCTTGGATCCACAGATGTCCTGCTGAATGGTGAGTGAGCCCCACCAGCAGACTGGTCTCCGAAGTATTGTTGCTGTCTACATGCGGAATCGTGCCATTGTCGCGGCTGGCAGCGACGTGGTGAGCGGAGGGCTTGGCCAGTGCCGTGATGCCACCTTTGCAGAAGAGCCCAAGCCGAAAGGTGCAGCCACTTGCAATGTCCCGGGGATCGGTCTCGAACTGCAGAGTCCTCGCCACCATTCGCGCTGCATTCCACAGAGAACCGGAGCCCTCCTGTAAGTGTTGCTCTGCTAGTTCCTCGGCGACCGTGCTCCGATATGATCCCACTGGCGGAGGGAAATCAATGATTCCATCATGATCCTCGAATGTGGTTGGCATGGCCGCGCACCGCAGGAAGTAAGGCAGATCCTCAGGGTGTAAGCGATTTTGGGCTATCTCGATCAGCTCATTGCGCGTCGCCAGGGTGACAGAGGCAGGCAGCGGACTCTTATCGTGCAGCATGTCATTCAGCAGCTTCAGAAGGGCCAGCTCTTCCAGCGCAACAGCTTGCATATGCGCAGGAAGCTCCAGGGCGATGGGCATTGACGCAACGGGCAGTGCCGACCTAGGCACGGAGCAGTGGTTCCCTGTACCACTGCTGTGGCAGAAAAGACTGCTGCGGAAGGACATATGCTGCTGAAGGTC